CTAACATTTTAAAGTTTTTTGATTTCATCAAATTTCAGGCTCGCCATTACCGTCTGAGAAAAAACACATGCGATCTCATCCAAATAGAGCTTTACATGAGGTAAAAATAACATTATCTTCTTACCACTCTCGTTGATGGCCCAGTACTTACGGAATGGATTCTTAGATGATTTTTAATTATTAGGTGAATTTAGTCATTGGCTGTAAAAGTTCACCGATAAAATTTCACCTATTTCGATAAAATTTTACCTTTTTTGACAAAATTTTACTAAATTTTTTTTGCCTTATTGATGAACTGTCGATGAATTTTTCGCTCAGTCTAAACTGTTAAGCAGTGAAAATTCCTAACAGTATTTGCTCGTTGGGCAGAACTGTCCAAAACATATGATCACACTGGCTACCCTGGTGCCTGCCGCTGTTTGTTTTTTTCTTGGTCTGAATGCTGTTTTTTTTCCTCCAGAAGCGGAAACCGGCTTGGGGATATGCTGGCCAAGTTGGAGCAGTTATGCAAGTGGGACTGAATTCAGAAAAACGATCAACAGCTGGCAGTGACGACAAATTAGTACTGCCGAGTCCAATGCAAATTAGCGCAATTAGTACAACGAGCTTTGCGAGTTCCATGCATATCAGTGAAGCAAGCAGTGTTGCAAGCAGTAAAAGAATGTCAGTGGTTGAAACCGCGGAAATTGAAGATGTAATTGGTTTTTTTTTTTTTTCAGTAAAACAGGCAGTAAAAAGATGTAATAGCAAAGCATTTCAACTGTCACTTTTTTCGGGGAACGGAGGCAGGGAGAGGGAGGGCGGGAGGGTGATTAGGAAATAATCAAAAAAAGAAAAAGGAAAAGAAAAAATGGTGGATGAACAACAAAAATGCCTTGCTTTGAAATCTCTCGTCTTTTTTTTGGAATAATTAGGTATGGCGAAATGGGGTAGCACTGTTGTCTTTCAGTAGGAACACAGGTTCGACTCTGCCAGTAAGACAACCAACCCCTCTGCGATTTGTTTCAATTATAAATTGGTACTGGCATGTGCTAAGGTGTTAAACCCGCCATCAGCTTGCTTGTAAACAATCCTCAGAAGGGAGAACCATAGGCAACTTTGCCAGCGAGTGATTGCTTTTGGCATTTGCCACCACTCAGACTACTTCTCGAATGCTTCTGCCTCAATGAAAATGCGGTACGGAGAGATGTGGACTGAATTACTATTTACTTATGGGCTGAATTACTAATTAAGTAAAAGAACTTTTTGAGTGGTTTTTTTTGTGTTCGACTACATTTTGAGGATGATTTCAATGAATTAATGGGGGAT